TCGGTTTTTCGTAATTTTAAGCCGTTTAATGAAAATTTAACCTACAACATGCATAGACCATTTGAAAGTACACATTTCAACGGTTAAAATGATATATATGTAAATATAAAAATACAAAAAAAACATCAATAAAGTTGTCCGTAGAAGATGAGGGTAGTTTTTTAAAAAAGTATCAACATCTCAAAAACTATTTGTTTTTTAATTCCAAAAAAAATCAAGCTTATTCCAGGCAATAAAAGGTATACTTCCACAAAATTTCATGTAAATTAAATTATTTTTACGTGAGAAAAAAATTAAAAACTGAAAAATCAGTTTTTCGCCATTTTCTCGAAAAATTTGAGGTTATGTTGAAAAATGTCAAATACAAAAATTTTAGATTTTTTTATTATCTATAACTTTTGTACTGAACATTTTCCACTAGGAGGCCACCCTTTGCCGTAAGTCGAGAAAAACCGATTTCAACCCCTAAACAGCACCCCCATTTCACCATTTCACATTATCTCGCGTTTAAACATTTTTTTTTCGTTTTGTTACAACCTTAACTTCATTTTCCAGCCGGTCGTTGCCTGTTATTAATTTTTTTTTTACCATTTAAAATACGCTTTGGCACCAGCCTAATAAGAAAAAAATCAAATTTGATATTTAATATTTTGTCTATTTGTGATTTAAATCAAACGATTAAAGAAATTTTTATCATAATTTTGTAAAAACTTGTGTGTTATTATATAGGGCTAACTTTAGAATAAATTTACTCTTCTGCACTATTAGATATCATAATTACAATAACAATTATAATAATTGAAGTAAAGTATTACTCCAAAAATTCCAGCTAATATGCATGTTGCATAAGATATCTAAAAGACGTCTTTTAGACATCTTTAATGGACTTTCTACAATAAGCCATTACCTGAACTTAAGTCTTAAGCTATAAGAAATTGACTAATTAGTATTAATTAGTGTTAATTTAGATATTTTAGTTATTTTAGATATTACTAATATTATTTTATTTAATAAATAGATACTTAGCATCAGGTGATAGCCAAGTGTTTATGTCATATGAATTTGGTGTAGGGACAAGTACAATTTCTCAAATAATTTCGGAAACTTGTACAGCACTGTGGACAAAATTAGCTCCTTTGGTTCTACCAGTACCAAAATTAAAAGATTCGGAAAAAAGCGAAAACAGTTTTAAACGTATGTGGAATTTTCCAAACTGTGTGGATGCTATCGACGGAAAACATGTAGTAATTCAGGTAAGTTTTAATAATTACAAAATTCAGATTTTGATCATTATAGATAAAACAGAAGTTTTTTTGTCATGATAAACTATAAGCTGTGTTCGTTTATGTAGCGGTTAGCGCAGAAGTGTCATTTTATTCTTGTTTAATATTCGAAGAACAAAGATAAAATGATACTTCTGTGCTAACCGCTGCATAAACAAACGCAGCCATATTGTTTGTAATGAGCAGAATGTCTAAAATCGACGCATAAGGCAACTGATATATTTAAAAATTTTTTAAGAAACATCTTTAAGATATTTCATAAAGAATTCTGAAAGATATCAAAGTTGTCTTATGCGTTGATTTTAAACATTTTGCTCATTGGATTGTATCTTATTAAATGTTTTTCGCGAAAAGATATTCAAATCAGAAATATATATTTATTATAAATATGTATATTTATAAATATAAATATAATTTTATATTATAAATAAATAAATAAATGCTATACAAATAAATATTTATGTATATTTTCTAATCTGTTATATGGAAGTTAGTCAAATCAATTTTACACTGTAACGAATTAGGACATTTGTCGCAATCGATATGCATTTCGCGGGTTATCTCCGTATTCGAATCCATTCTTAGAATGCCAATGTTTCGTGAACCTTGCAGTCACTTAAGTCGAGGACTGCCAGTATCAGGCTGCTCTTCGCCCTGATGAAGTGAACTGCAAGATTTACGAAACATTGGCATTCTACTCAAGGAAAACAAGAAAATCAAAATAATATCAATTTGACATCATATTGACGAATTTATGTCATTTTTTAGTCATGATAAAAATCTCGATCTCATATGATCTAAGAATGACTTTATATATAAACTTTATATATATATATTCATTCTATATATATAGTCATTCTTAGATCATATGAGATCGAGATTTTTATCATGACCAAAAAATGATATAAATTCGTCAATATGACGTCAAATTGACATTATTTTGATTTTCTTGTTCTCCTTGGGTAAGAATGGATTCGAACACGGAGATAACCCGCGAAACACATGGTTTCTATATAGAAAGTACCCGTGGAAGCCTCAAGAGTATTAATGTATATATTTTGTAGGCTCCACACATTCAGGATCGACATACTATAATTACAAGGGCAGTCATAGCCTAGTATTGTTAGCTATATGCGATGCAAATTATAAATTCCTCGTAGTTGATATTGGTGCTGAAGGGTGTCAAAGTGATGGAGGAATTTTAAAAAAATCATCTATTGGGCAAGCACTAATTAACGGAGAAGCAGATTTACCACCAGCTAAACAAATCTCTGAGGATAGTTCTGTACTACCGCATGTTTTGATAGGCGATGAAGCGTTCCCATTGACGACTTTTTTGATGCGTCCGTATCCTGGACGAAGCGGATTAACTGTGGATGAAAAGATTTTTAATTATCGATTGAGCAGGGCACGGAGAATGATTGAGAGTACATTCGGCATTTTTGTATCACAGTGGAGAATTTTTAGAAAACCGATCATTGCAAATGTCGAAAATGTACATAAAATAATTGAAGCTTGCGTTTGCTTGCATAATTTTATCCGGAATGCGGACAACAATGCTGATGAAAACTACGAATTAGAATTAAATGATTATGATCCAATAACCAATTCAGGTGGTATGCGAAACGTATCTCGTCTTGGATCAAATACACACTCACGCGAAGCTGCTCGTGTGAGAGATCAGTTTATGATGTATTTCAATGAAGGTGTCGTTGATTGGCAGTTTTCAAAAATTTAGACCGAAATGATCATGAATTACATAAATTTTTAAATATATTACATCATTAGTAAAATCCAAAAGAACAATTTAAATAAATTTGAGATGAATATGTTATGAAATAACATGTTTTTATTTATTATAAAAATCTTCGCGTGAATATAAAAAAGTAAGCAATCTAATTCTAAAATACAGGCACGTCTTTTTGTAAAAGGTATTTTATTTAATGATGCTCGGACTAATCCTATCACATTTTCAATTTTGTCATTTTTCTGTGGTATACAAGGTAATGGTGGTAAGACTACTTCAGGTAGTGTTGGTTCTGGTGTGTTCAACACAGCATTAAGTTTCATCAGCACTTCTTCATTTGAAGAGTCCATTGATGAGTGATCTGTAACAATGTTTATATTATGTCAAAAGTCAGGATTAAATTAATAAATTTTTATTAATAATTAATTTATTAATAAATTTTTTCGATGCAACTTTTCTTCGTTCTAACAGTCCTCTCCCAAATTTTGTCCAAAATCTAAATATTAACTTACATTTCTTTTTTTTTTCTCTCTAATGATGAACACGTACTGGTCGATGCATCCGATTCATTTGGTGTTGATATGTTGGAACTTGTTCTATAAATAATTGGTGAGATACATAGATTAGAAATGCATTATTCATTTATAATGTATGATTGTATTATTTACTTTCGATTGTTAACGAATAGATCTTTAATAAAAGCATAATCTCATAATACGGCCATTTATTTTTTTTCATATCACTGCCAGCCGAACCGCTTTTTTTTGCATTATTCTCCCGTGCTACGATTCGGCTATAATTGTAGCGCATTTTCTTCCATATGTTTTTCGCCTCGTTGACATCCTTGACATGACCTATAAAGAAAATTACAATCTCATTATTGCTTCGAAAACATTTCATGTGCAGAAATACGATTATACTTGACTAACATACCGTTCATAGTAGACACTACTTCTTCCCACAGCTTCTGAACAGTATTTCTACCCCTTTCAACAACAGGAATTTTAAAATTCCATGAAGGTTCCCGCTTTTGGATTTCGCCGATCAACATTTCATTGCGAAGAACTTCTGTCATTGTTTCATCCGGATTCTCATTCATTTGGTCGATAATGTCACCATTATCTGTAAAAGTATATCTGTACAATATATCCCCGAATATAACTAAGTCTATGAATATTTTTAATACTCGTGAATAGTCACCACAGCCGTGTATTGAATCATGGCATCAGAAGTAAGAAATAAGACGTTAATTTTTGTTACATGCTATTTATAAAAAAAGACAATTTGAGATAAAACGAAATTAATTGGATTGCTTTAAAACACAATTATAAAAATAGATAAAAAGCTATCCTTACCCTCCTGACAGTCAGTAAATAAAAGGTGGTAAAAGGCAAGTAAAATGTGGTTACTCAATGTGCATATGCATAGCTTATTTTCACTTTCACATGCCTTTTACGATTATTTACTGACTGTCAAAGAGGGAAGGATAACTTTCGTCCATTTTTACAATTGTTTTAAAACGATATATCTCATCATTTCGTTTTATCCAAATTATTTTTATTCACAAATAACATGTAACAAAAATTAATGTGTCGTTTCTTGCTTAAAACGTCACAATTCAATATGACTTCGAAAGAAATTGGTCAATCACATTCATTCCATTCTACAGAGAAATAGCTATGACTGACCACCCTAGTAGCAAGCTGACGTCAAAATGACATCATTTGATGTGCCCAAAAAGACGTCATTTGACGCCACAATGACGTCAAAATGACTTAGGTTGCTGGACAGTTTCATAATTACGGATGTTATTAAACTCAATTAAGGGTGCAGTGTAAACGTAGTCAATGGTTTCATATAGTCTATTCAAATCTTTCATATTTTTAATTATTGCAATACGAAAGACCAAAACTTACCAAGCCTTGGATACACATAACCTGCGTCGTCAACATGAATGTGATTGTAACCACTGTAACAGGTATGGTCCATCACAATGTCTAAATCAAGTACTGTATCACATAATGCACAGATGTTTTCCTACAGAAAGAAAATTTACATGTTAATTCAAATATATACTTCTACAATATATTGTAAAAGTTTAATGAAAATATATTTGCTGAGGTACATACTTGAATGTTAGCCATTCCTTGCACTCATATTCTTTTCACAGTGTATTAAATGTTTAAAATACAAGATTCAGTGTGCAGTCTTCTCGAGGATCACAGACATTTGTTAAATCAAAACTATAAAACAATAGCCTAGGTTATACTCATTACTTGATACTAAAGCATTCGATATATTCGTACTAAATTTGTTTAATTTGATGTTTTTGATCATCTAAACGTCGGATTAAACAAATTTTGACTTTTATATATTTATCAATATTTATGTAGTTAAAGAGTTTTGTACATACATACCGCGGTTTCTTCTACTACATTCCACCATGCTACACGCGGCAAACGCGCTGTCTGAAAAAGTTGAGCTCGGTCGAATTTGGTTGCGCTATGTCACAAGGATGTTACTAGACAATTATTGTGGCTGCTGAAGATCAAATCTTTCAATTTTGTGAAAAAAACGTAAAATCGTATAGGTTTGTACATTATTTAATACAAAAAACGTAATGATAAAGATAGTTTTTAATTTAGAAGTTATTTATAATATTGGACAAAAATGATCGTTTCGATTATTCTAAATTAGATTGCTCTCATTGGCTGTTGCTCAACATTTGAAATAGCGTTTGAGCGCTGGTGCTAAAGCGCCGGTGTCTGTATGAGGATCCAGCCTAAGGCTCCTGAGTAATCGCGGCGGCCATGTTGGAATCATGACACGATTATTTATGTTGCGTGTCATTTGTAAATAAAGACAATTTGGATAAATCTAAATGACGAGCACATGGTCATGGGCTTGTGTTGCTACCGATTTCGCCGTCTGATTCTGTGTCGCTATCATCAACGCAGAGTTCTTGGCTGAGTACTCAGGAGCCTTAAAACAATTTAAAAACCAACTTTCATTGCCTCTGCATGTTTGTCTGCAATTTTTTCAAATATTTCTCGAGCGTCATGTAATTGTACTGCCAAACGTACTAGGCCTACCTGCAAAGAGAAAGGAAATAAATCTTGAATTTATCCCTGATGTATATCTCCTCATGATGGAAAGATATTCATCTAAAATGGGATATACCCATTGGCCATGAGCATTTTTGGAACTATTTATGAGGAGATTTCCACTAAGGATATCTCTAGAATTTTATTATAATTGTTATTATACAGGGTGTTTCCAAATTAAATGGCAAAACTTCGGGAGCGTGTAGAGGAGTAAAAAACTAAGAAAAAAAGTCCTATAGACATATGCTCGTTTTTGCTCTGTTTCAGAGAAAATCGAAAAAAAATGTTTACATT